CTCACTCACCTACTCACTCAACCACTCACTGACCCACTCATTTGCATAGGGCAGGAGAGGGCAGCACAGCAAACTACACGGTTCCAATGTGATGCAGGATGTTGCTGCGGTGCAGTGTTGACTCCATGGGCAGTGTTGAGTGTATGGGTATCGTAGAGTCTAAGGCCAATGTTAAGTCTATGTGCAGTGTTGAGTCTATGCATGTGCAGTGACATAGGGCTGACTGTTGGACAGCAGCAGCAACTGCAGGTAGGCACTTTGCACACACGCCGCTGAGTATATACGCTGATGTGCTGGCAGGGCGGAGGAACTGGGGCAAGGGTCATGGTAGACCTCGTGTGGAAGCCCCTGGAACCCTCTGGAGGGTTTGAGAAGGGGGGCGCGGCTAGGGCGGAGCCAAGCCGCCCAATCATTGCGTGGCCAGATAGCATTGGGCTGTCTCCGTCGACGCCACCGGTGTAACGCGGACAGGGTCATGTCTGGGACGGGGCACGCGGCAGCGGGGTCGTGTGTGAGAGAGAGAGGGAGCCCGAGTGGTGGCGTGAGCTCGGCTGGCTGTGTCTACGATGCACGCCACCCCCACGCACAGACGACACTACACATGCATGGGTGTTGAACGTCTTTCACACTGTGCATAGCCAACCATGCTTATCAGAGGAAGGACAACAAACTAAATACAAAAAGCAGTTCTGAAGAAATTAGTTGAACACATAGGCTTTCGCGACCAATATTATCCATGATAAAACATTTGTGGGTTAGATCGCACCACCTGACTCAACATTGCCACCCATAGACTCAACACTGCCACCCATAGATTCAACACTGCCACCCATATACTCAGCACTGCCACCCATAGACTCAGCACTGCCACCCATAGAGTCAGCACTCATTATAGAGATGTTTTTTGGGTTAGATCACGTAAATATATAAATGTGTCGTTAAAACCCGTCACCACCCAACACAGCCAACTAGTAAGGGTTGTCCGTCAACAAAACATGCTAATTACTTACTACCTCAGCACACCGGTGTGTTGGAAAGTCAACCCACAACATTTACAATTCGAGTACTGTGACGTTTCTCTGGTGATAACATCACCAACCAGCTTCATCAGGTGATAGCCAAAATTGTGAAGAAGAATAATTGAGTTATCAAATTATTGAGATGGATATATTTCACGCACCTCACTCGTCTCCATCTCCTCTAAGCGACGAGTCTCTCCACCAGGGTGCTGCGTCTCTCCCAAGTCTCCCTTCCTTCTACCACCACCACCACTATCATCAATACCATCACCATCACCACGGCTGAAATGACTTCTCATTGTCCTCCAACAACACCAATTCCTGCTGTGGTAGCGGTGGTGGCACCGGTAGAGAAGCACCATCAGCAACAGAAGGAAGATCAGAGCCCACGTGGTTATGGCGATGAACTCTTTGGCGCAAAAAGGCAAAACCGTCGATGGCACCGTCGATGGCACCGGCGATGTCGCTGCATGCGTCGTAGCAGCGGTTCCTGTTGCAGAGAAAGGGACAGCGCGATTGGTGGTGGCTAGGAGATGTTAAATATATTGCCTGGTATACAGGGGTCGTGAGTTCGATCTCGACTGACGCCTGCTAGAAATTTGGAGTTTGCGCGTCTCTCTCCCTGTGGTCACGTGGATTTTTTTCTGGGTCCTTCGGATTTTTCCCTCCACATTTTGAATCAACATAAACGCATTTAGAGTATTTGGCTGCTATAAATTTTTCACATGATGAGCCACTTTGTTTAGCTATCATTTGCAGCCAAATCGCTTCTGAAAAAAGAGCTATATAGCTCAGTGGGCCTTCACCTCTTCACCTTGCGCCGTCAGGTCGAAATCGACCTCTGGTGACATCCACGACCAGACTCTCCTATCCAAACCTGTCTCTCACTGCCTCTCGTAGCTGGGCAAGTGTATGGCCAGTGGTGTTCTTGATGTCGTCCATCCATCTCCTCCAAGGTCGACCTCTGACCCTGATATCTTCTCCATTCCCAAGCAAGACTGATTCCTCTCGTCCAGAGGTCCTCATAAAGTGTCTAAAGATAGTACATTTCTGCTTCATGAATAAGGACTCGAGTGGAAGAGCGGGACCGATCTCTCTCAGGACGGACATGTTTGATATTTGGCTGTCCGTGGTTTATGTAGCATTCTTTTCCAGCACCACAAATGCTCTGATCCTCTTTCTCTCACTCAATCTCGGCGTCCACAACTCCCATCCATATACGACAACAGGGAATACCAGAACTTTGACAAGTCTCTTCTTGGTGCTTATGGTAATGCCCTTGTCTCTCCCTATCTTATTGAGCTGTGACATGGCTATTCTCCTGAGAACTGACCGCCTACTGATCTCGTGGCTACATTCTCCGTCTTCAGCAGTCAAGGAGCACAGGAAGACAACGTTCTTCGCAACTTTGATTGATGCATTTTCCAGACAAAAGAGTTTAGTGGTTCTGTCGCCATCATCTTAATCCTTTGGAGATTGAGCCACAGCCCAGCCTTCCCACTAGCTTCTTTAACATTTACCAACAGGGTCATAATTTCAGCTTTGCTATTTGATAGTGGGGTGGTATCATCAGCATCTCTTAAGTTGTTTATTCTTCTGCTTCTAATCTTCACGCCTGTTTCGATGCAATCCAGGCCTGCCTCTCGCATAATACGCTCACTGTATAAATTGAATAGGTAGGGACACAGTATACAGCCCTGTCTTACTCCTTTCGCAATGTCAAATTCTCGTAGAATGGGCGATGCTCTTTGGTTGGCATATATATTAAGTAACACAGTGGGCCATACCTGGTTAAAATAGTTTAAAATTAGCTTAAATTAACCTTTCTACAATTGACGTTGAAGATGATAATGCATAAGCCATTTCTGTCTATCTGTCTGTAACACGACGACCCTTGTAAATATGATCCTGCAGGAACGAAGCTTCAGCAAAATGATATGTTGCTATTAGGGGCTTACCGAATTGGGGAAACAATTTAAATTTTGATTTAAAGCTTTCGTGACTGCAGTAATCCATATTCTTAGCTATTTCGGTAAAGTCACGTTGAAGTGAAACAATAAAATAATAAAATTTGTAAAACAATAAAAAAAATTCTCACGTTTCGACCATAACGCAAACGGTCATCAGGCGTTATGGTCGAAACGTCGTGAGAATTTTTATTGTTTTATATATATTTTATTATTTCATTGTTTAGCTTCAACGTGACTTTACCGAAAGAGCTAAGAATATGAAACAATTTAAGTTATAAAAGTGGTGAACAAACGTTGAAGATACACGCCAGAGCAATAAAAAAGGTATTAATTGAAAAATTTCAAATAGTGATTTGTCCTGGAAGATACCAGTACAGGATCCGTATTGCTGATTAAACACATTCAAAGACAAACGTAAGCCGATAAGCTTTAAACAATCTACCTATTTGCGTGTGCACAATATTACTTCAATTCAAGACGTTGTAGGCTTCCGCGACAAATATATTGTTAAGCTGTTGTGGGCTAGATCGCGCAGACGTTTCATAAACAAAGGTGGGAGGGAGGAGAGGGAGGAGAGGGAGGGCGTTCCGGAGGGGCCCTGCAGAAGGAGCAGCGGCCGCATCTGAAAGCGCTGCACGATGCGGTTTTACCTCCATTCCGCACCTCCAGTTAACACGGTTGGCAATGCACGGTGCAAAATAAGTTCCACATACGTGCATACATACGACTGTCTTTGTTCGATGGTGAGGTCTTCATCCCAGCCTCTCTACAAGAGCAAATTGGGAGCAGTCGCGAGGGCAAAGAACCGCCGTGCACATCGCCCATTTGACCCCTCCTGCCCCCCCACCCCAGCAAGCTATTCACCTCACTGACCCAGGTGGCCACTAAGCATCATAAGTGTGGCAGGAGCGAATTGCGGTAGGCTCCGGCCACAGATGCCCGAAGTGGGTAAAAGGGAATGGCTCGCTTTGTTACCCATCTGAGAGAGTCACCGCTCCCGTGTCGCTGCAGCTTTCTCATCTTGACCACTGATGGCGGCCGTCCCAGATCTGAGTCTTGCTTTGCCCTCGAGTCCTCGTGAAGTCGTTCGTGAAGACTTGTAGTCGTGTTTTGCGTTTTTATCCTTGTGCCGTTGTGCTACAGAGTCGAGAAGAAACTGGGTCCCAGTCTGTCAGTTGCTCATTTTGAAAGAGTCGTGAATTGGTTGTCAATGTTGAGGACTTGTTTTTTTTTATATTATAGCTTGGGCGTTGTAGGAGACCTCTTGTTGGACAATCGTTTAAGCTGGTTGTGATAAATTAGCAATGGTCTGTATCAAATTCCAGGCTACAGACGCTCTGCGATTTCACAGAGTTTTCCATCAAGAGTTAATAAGTACGCAGTCAACGGTATTTCTCTATTTAGCTATCGCTTGACATCCCGGTAAATGAATGTTGTGGCTCTGGAGCCACCTGCCACCTATTCTGTGCACATAACATAACAAAATAAAAATTCAAATCTTGATTTGAAGCTTTTGTGACTGCAGGAATCCATATTTTTGGTTCTTTCGCTAAAGTCACGTAGGTAGAAAAAATATAATAGATGACGACGTTTTGATCGCAACACAATCGAAACATCGTGATCTATTATTTTTTCTACCTACGTGACTTTACCGAAAGAACCAAAGAGTATTATTTTGTATTTTACCAGGTCAGGCTCCACTAAGCTATGTAGCTCTTTTTTTACATAAGTGACTTGGCCATAAATGATAGCTCAACAAAGGGGCTCATCACTTGGGAATTTATAGCAGCCAGTTATCTAAACGTGTGATGTTGATTTGCATGTGGAGGTACCCGGAGAAAAATCGAAGCGACTACAGAGATTGAGAGGGACGCAAACTCCAAATATACAGCAGCAGGTGTCAGGGTCAAGATTCAACCTTCGACGAAGATAACATCTCGCCACCGTGGCCCTCCTTAAAAATATGTAAATATTAATTTATTTCCCCACAAAGTAGTTCTCATTTAGTCAACCCTTTGAAGGATGATGGCCGAGTTCCCCTCCCCAAGCAAGGATTTAACCTTTGGTGCCAAGCTGCCTGAGCTAGTTTGAGATTTTACAGTGCATCTGAGTTAACATTGGGAGAGACAAAAAAAACATTTGTTATGATTAAGATTAATAGTATCATGCATTGTTGCGATTCAAGGATTGTGATTTTATTCTGGAATCTATTTTCTTTACATTGTTTTGAATGAAGCGGCCTCTAGTATCTTCGGAGAAAAGTGAACCGAATACGTAGAACACACGCGTGCAGGTATACAATCGATTCTTGCTTACACAAATAATATGAATGTTTTGTGATGTTCAGACATACTAATTGATGCACGACTATAATTGTTACAAACTAAAACCACAACGTGTGTACTTTATTTACATCGAGTGAATGGTTAATGTGAATTTATATATGCAGACATTACATCTCAAGCTTTGTGGAATTACCTTGAGAAGTTACTGTCAAATTGTAAACCATCTCATGACGATCAGCTGTGCTGGTTTTCAGAAAACAGTGGTACATTCCACTCGCGTTCGCTGGGACTGAAGCCAGAGTGATGGAGCCATTTCCACTGCTCAGGTTCCCAGAGAAAACCACGTAGTAGAGAGATGGGTTGCAGTATGTGACACGTTGAATGCCACAAAATAATATCTGTCGAACAAGACATATTACACGTTTAGCAATTTGTTTTAATTGATGCACATTAGTGTTTATTCATACCAGTCGGCTGGTTCCACACTCCCAAAAACTATGTGGAAGAGCTCTATTGGAAATCTGCTGTCATATTTTGATTGAACCATTCAAAACGTATGATGGAATGTAACGTCGAATTATGTTTAAACATTTCATCCCTATAATTTGAAAGATTGGGGTTAAAATCGACATTTTTTTATTTGCGCAACTATATTAGTTTCCACATGTATTATTAGTTAACGCTTCTAAAACATTGGTAGAATTTTAATGTACCTTCTTTTACATAGAGCATCTCACAGCAAAAAAAAAAATCCCTTGTGTTAACAGAAGGATTTTGACTGAAACCCAAAATGCGGTACCCGGTAGCCAATTACAGAACTCTGAGCACTGGGGATGTTTGATCTCAATTCACCTTGTCCACCAAGAAGCCCTAGCAGCCCGCATTTTGCACAGAAATAGAAACAATGAAGAAGCTATTCGGGCAGTCCAGCAAACAGCAGTTTGCAATCGTGAATCCTTGAGGTTATAGTAGCGCATGATACAGAATCTCTACACCGCTACTATTTCAAAGGGGCATATCAGGCTATATTTCTGAACTTGTAGAAAGCTGAGCTAATTACAAGAGACAATCACTCCTCTAATCTAGCATTGACATTAAGGGTGATGCCAAAGCGTCGCACGGAAGATTAACGTTTTATTTTATAGCCAGCAACATTAAAAACAAAATCAGAACATTTATTTAGTCTGTAGGAATCCGTTGCGCTATTGGAGCTCTTTTTCACAGATGTCGTTACAACAACAACCAAACAGCTGCAGCTGATTGACAACTCATTTCTTGTCGTTGTGTCTTAGTTTGTTTCCCCCCTGTACTTCCAGTTAGTGTGGTTGGCTATGTACGGTGCCAAAGAAGTTCAACACACATACATAGTATACTATACACTACCTTATACTACACTACTAAACACTACACTACTATACACTACACACATACAGATAACTGCACACATCACTGCCCCCCCCCCCCCACCACCCCTGGCAAACAGGGGGCAGCTGATATTTAGTCCCACGAGAAGTAACACTGTCTCGCTATCATTGAGCCCAAAGGAAGTTGGAGGTCAACACATCTTGTTGTCCATACGACCAGCTGCTGAGGTCTCTGGACAGCTTAGACAAGTGGTTCTCAACCTGGGGTGCATGCACCCCATCTCTGAATGGGATCTCTGGACAGCTTAGACAAGTGGTTCTTAACCTGGGGTGTATGCACCCCATGGGGGTGCGAGATGCCATTTCTGGGGGTGCGAGATGGTAAATCATCGAAATACAAATTAGGCGCGGGCATGTAAGTACAGCTACCTTGTTTAATCAAACCTATGTATTTACGAACATTATATATTATTTTAATGATTGAAAACCAACGGATGCAGTAAAGGTTAAGAAGCACTGGCTTAGACTGACGAGAGAGATCTCTGAAAGGAACCTCGGCCTAAGCAATAGTAGACCTGGAGATCGTTTACTCGTAATGTATTTCATAACATCATTTTATCTATATACATTAAATAGACACAACGCCGAGGTAAATTCTTCACTGTGTGATGTCCCCCCCCCCCACCCCGATGAGTGCAGTAATTACTACTATACAGTCGCTAGATGCTACCACTATAGGCCTTAGATATTACTGCAGTGCGGCCAGAGAAATCATGGTGGGGGGGGGGGGGGGATCAGCAGTAGCAGCCCAGCCCCAGCCTGCCTAAGTGTCACCTCGGCCAGCTGGACAATCTCGACGAGGCCAGAGGCTCTGCACGGACTAGGCCTCACCACGCCACTCTATCAGGTGAGTACTTTGTGCTAAAAAGTGGATAAATACTGCTGTAGAGTCAGCATGTACTACTGTCGTGATAGCAGGTCCCACCACAGTCGGTATGCACTGCTGTAATCATAGCAGGTACCACCATAGTATGCACTGCTGTAATCATCGCAGGTACCACCACAGTCAGTCCGGACTGCTGTTAGATTTTGAAGAGTAGTTTTGAAATAATTATTTGGCCTTGGCAACGCCGGTTAAAAAGATAGTTATTTTGTATACGACACATTCTGCACGAGTGACATGCACACTGTGTGTGTGTAGCAATACAGACGGATATTGCACTGGGCTGATTATCCCTAAAGTGTGCTAAATTGGTAACACCACGTGTAATGAGAGATTGCAATACTCACCGTTGTGTTAGACTGTCCACATCTCCATCGCACGCGGTCTATTGTGGACGATGTTGAACAGTTAAGGAGCACATCTTCACCTTCAACAGCCGCCATGTACTGAATGGGTCTATTTGCTACATAAAGAAAAATGTGCAAAATGAATGCAGAGACCACCAGCATTGAACTTTAATGGCTGGATATGAGCAGCCTGGAAGCATCAACAAACCATGCCATCTCCACACACACACAGATACCTTATTAAAATCTAATCTCTGGAAAATTAATACAGTATAACTTTCTGTATGCGCAAGCTTCTGGAAATTTCTAGTGACGCACATTCACGAGTTACTAAATGCATAATAATTCCCTATTCCCGAAACTGGCAGACTTCAGCATTCTAGAGTTGTATGAAAGTGCCGACAAACCGCAGAGTTTTACTACTTTTGAAACATTCCGCTGTGAAGATGAGGCGTGCTCTTTCTGGACCACGCACTTTGTCCTGAACTCGCTCTTGTGCATGTTTTACTTTGTACTTACAGTTGACTTTGTTATATATTTTATAAATCGTCGTCAAATCATAATAGTCAAAGGTTATGAAAGAAAAAAAGATGTTCTGTGCATCATTAGACCTCCTTTGCCAGTACCAAAATTTAATAATAGGGTTTTCCCCCTTTTTTCTGGCAACAAAACTGAAACCTTTTTACGAGGATTCATGTCTGCATTAACCACAATACCTGCAGTCAAAATGCAAACAAAAAATATACTATGATAATATATGCATTGTCCTTGAAACTGATTGGTCCACACCAAGGGATGGCTTTCTTTTGAGCCTCGACCCAATTGGTGCACGACCAGATGATGCCAAAAGGCGTACAGCTCAAAGACAATGCACTATCATAGTAATGAGGGCTCGGGGTGAGCATCTACATCATTAGACCTCCTTTGCCAGTACTAAAATGTAATAATAGGGTTTTCCCCCTTTTTCTGGCAACAAAACTGAAACCTTTTTACTAGGATTCATGTCTGCATTAACCACAATACCTGCAGTTAAAATGCAAACAAAAAACATACTATGATAATATATGCATTGTCCTTGAAACTGATTGGTCCACACCAAGGGACGGCTTTCTTTTGAGCATCGACCCAAATCGTGCCCGACCAGATGGCGCCAAAAGGTTGATGCCTGTGCACTTTTACATAATACAGATTGACAACTCATTTCTTTCTAACTGATTTTTGCATTTAGTTAGTTGTCATTCCGCCACACCTCCGATTAGCACGGTTGACTACTGTACGTATGGTGCGAAAGAGGTTCAACATGCATACACACGTACATACAACCACAGGACCACCACTCTTAACTCAGCTTATTTTCATCACAAACGTATTGATATAAATAAAGCTGTATCATTAATCTACAGCGGACACGAATAACGCAATGACTGAACGGATCTTATCAGGTGTGTGTAGCTTATTTCTAACTCACAACCCATGCCCCACATCAAAATGCGCGTGGTTGCTAAGAGTAACACGGCTGACACAACTCCTGCCTGTCGCATCAAGTGATGGAGCCGCTATGCAAGCCTCGTGGTCTCACCACAGACTACAGGGCCTGAGATGTTTTGAGATATTATTTTACCAGGTAATGTCGACCACGGAGAGAGAGAGACATGCAACCTTCAAATATACAGGAGTCAGGGTCTGAATCAAACCCACAAACTCCTTCATACCAGGCGAGGTAGTTAACATCTCCTAGCCACCGTGATGATGATCAGAGAGAGAGATGCAGACTCCACATATACAGCAGGCTTCAGGGTCGGGATCGAACCCACGACAACCCTGCATACCAGGTAAGGTAGTTGATATCTCCTAGCCACCGTGATGATGATCAGAGAGACATGCAAACTCCAAATATACAGCATGCGTTAGAGTCGGAATAGAACCCACGACCTTCTGTATACCAGGCGAGGTAGTTAACATTTCCTAGCCACCCTGGCATGGGCGCCACCAGTGCCAAATTAAGCTTGTGCGGGGCCTGTAGCACATTTTATAAAAGGGCCATAAATAAAAAAAAACACGTAAATATTAAAACACACATTTTTAACTTGCATAGTAAAGTAATTGTATTTTTTCATTCGCTATAGATCCAGATAATACGACAAATCGCTAACCTTAAACACCAAGTCGTTCGTAAAAGTTAAAAGCAGTATAGTACTATAGTAATAGAGCAAGTGCAGAGTCACTGAACCGGAATTGAAAGCTTGAAAGCATTTAGCGCGGGGCCTTTGAAAGTGCGGGGCCCATAGCTACACACGTAGCATCTTTTTCCTACTGGGATTATCCGGCACTGGGCGCGACCATTACTATCGCGAATTTAAACAACCGAAGGAGCGCGCATTGGAGAGCACGCACACACGCACGCTGAATTCTGTTGTTCACCAACGTTCCACTCCATCTTTCTTACCTGAGTTAGTCACGTGCACCGCCACCGCCATTACCGTTACGAAGAAGACGGACTCGGGGTGGTTCATGGTTGGGAGCTCCTAGGGCGTGTTACAAGAGACAGGGATGAGGACAGGGCAAGGTAGGAGCAAGCACAACACACAGGGTCCCGTTGTGACCAGTTATATTCACTTTACACTACAATACACTACTATACACTGCACTACTTTACACAATACACTACATTATTATACACTACGCAATTATACACTCCACTACACCACTTTACTACATTGAAAACGAATTATTTTTTCTTGTTATGCATTTTTTTCTCGTTATTTACGCATTAACTTTCTTTTTTCCTAAGCAGTGGGGTTTTATTTATCGTCTTTTTAATACGGAACTGCATAATAGATGTGCAGCGTTGTGGTATGCAATTGCTTGAATGAAGCTATATGAAATGAACTAATGACTATTACGGTGCGACACAAGTTCTACATACATACACATAAGCATACCGTAAAATAGTCGGTGCTGGCGTTGCATTGTGTTCTTGTCTCCAGGAACTGGTGCAGGAGAACGACATTGCTCTGCACGACCACTGCCTGCTCTGTTCCTCTCGCGCAGTGGTTCTCAGAGGTGCGGTCCCCTGACCCAGGAGTGGCTCCAGGCCACGGATGGCATCGGTGTTGAATTTAGATCTGAAAAAGTGATGGTTCCCTCATCCCCCCTCCCCTCCATTTAACCACCAACTCGCATTGACCAGCGTGGCGAAATTTGTTGTAGCAAATACACTCTGCATACACAAAATACTACGAGCCCCTATAGAGCATATACAGAGGCCAACAGCAAATATAAAGATCCCCCGTGTAACACGTAGGCTTTCGCGACCAATATTATTCATGATAAACGTTTTTGGGCTAGATTACGTTATTTATAAATGTGTCGTAACCCTCCACCACCCGACACGGCCAATCAGCAAAAAAAGTGTCACGTTGACAAAGGACAAATAGTTCACTACTTTAGCCCACCGGTGTGTTGAAGAGTGAATCAACAACATTTAAAAATTTTGAGTACGCCGTTTCTCTGGTAATTACATCCAGCATCATCCGGCAATTCGCCAGAATGGTGAAGCCCTTCACTTGCTCCCGGTCTTAAATAGAGCAGCAGCAGGGTGACGTCATCATTTAACTCATTCAGGTGCAGTGATTTGAGGCGGAGGGGGGGGGTATTGTAATTATATAATCGATTGGTAATCAGTCAATGGTTATGATTAGTAATGAGTTGTAGATTAGTAATGAGCTGTAACGTGTGTTATTGTAATTATATGCTACGTTTGTAATCAGTTAATTAGTATTTGTTTCCCCTATAAGGGATTGTAATATGTATTATTTAATAATACGCTTCCAGGCCGCACTAAGCCTGTAGCTGTCAGAGCGAATACAGTTATTTCTATTATCTCAATTTCAATGGTTTATCTAATTAGTCTTTGCCAGTAATAATTAGTTTTGCACAACACTTCAACGTGATCAAAATAAATTGAGTGTCCTTGTTGACAAGCATGATCTGCCACTACCGACAGTTGTGTTTGAGATAATTTAATATTTATTTGGTGTTCTTTAAGTCTTACGCTGATGTTACGTCCAGCCTGTCCAATATAGCATCTGCCACAAAGCAATTAATCCGATATACACCTTCTGTTGATAATTTAGGTAATTCGTCTTTAGTGCAAGATACTAGTTTTTGAATTTTGTGTACTCCACCAAATCTTACTGTAATGTTTTGCTTTAGCAAAACACGGGCTAATTTGTCAGTTACTCCTGAGATATATGGTATTTTAAATGTTTTAACAATCTGATCGCTTTCAGCAGTGTTGCTTTGCGATCGTGATTTGGCATTTAGTGCTCTGTTAATTTGAGCATTATTGTAGCCATTCTGTCGTAATGCTTCTTTAACATGTTTCATCTCTCTCACTAGACTTTCACAATCTGACACTGTTTTTGCCCGATGTATGAGCGTCTTGATAAGAGAGGATTTCTGAGCTGGGTGATGATATGAATCTGCATTCAGATAGGCATCAGTGTGCGTTTGCTTTCTGTAAACGCTGTGTGTTATTTTTTCATTTAGGCCATGTCCAGGCAAAATATCTAGGAACGGGAGTGTGATATTCACCTCCATTTCCATGGTGAACTGGATGGCCGGGTTTTGTGCATTGAGATGATTTAGAAAATCATTGAGTGTGTCTTTACCATGTGACCAGACAACCAAAGTGTCATCCACATATCTAAACCAAAAAGATGATTTTAATGTGCTCGAGGCAAGTGCTCTTGTTTCAATGTTCTCCATATACAGATTTGCTATAGCAGAAGATAAAGGAGAGCAAATTGCTGCTCCTTCATTTTGTTTAAAGAAATCACCTCTCCATAAGAAGTAAGTGTTATTTCAACAATGGTCAGCGAGTTTCTGAATATCTTTTGGTAAACCTGTATTCTTTACTAGTGTATCAAGTAATTTAAGGGATTCGTTCACTGGAACCTTAGTGAATAGAGAAATCACATCAAAACTCACTAGAATATCATGAGGGTTGAGTTTAATATCTTTAATCACATTAACAAGATGTTCTGATTTTTTTATGAATGAAGATGTCCTACCGATGTAGGGCTGTATTTGTTTAGTTATATATGTTTGCTAATTTATATGTGGCAGAGCCAATTGTACTGACTATGGATCGTAATGGGATGCCGATTTTATGAATGTTTGGTAGCCCATACAATCTAGGTGGTTTTGAGGCCCTTGGCTTAATTTGGAATTGCTCATTCTAAGGGATTAATGAATTTACAATGATTGCAGTAGTCTTACATTCTAAAGTATTAGTTGGATCTCGTATAATTTTAATGTAGGTACTTTCCTCTATTAAATCTTTAATTTGATTATCATAATCGGCTCGTGAAATTAGCACAGTAGTGCAGCCTTTATCAGCTGCCAGGATTTGGATATCTTTATTTAAACGGAGCTTTCTTAAGGCTTTTGCTTCGTTCGAGCTTTTTGTACTTTGCTATTCTCAATTATTTTGGCAACCTCGTGTCTATCTTCTTTGGTTCTTTCGGTAAAGTCACGTAGAATGAGAATAAAATAATAAATTGATAAAATAAAATAACACAATAAAATTTTCACGACGTTTCGGCCACAACACAAGCGGCCTTCATCAGGTGAAGGGACGAGATTTCTGGAGGACAGCGCTGGAGCGAACACAGCCAAGCTCAGACCGCGACCTTTAAGTTGTGTGAGAAGAAACAGAGCGCCTTGACAAAGGAATTAGCATAGAATTTAGCATTGAAATCGCTGAGTGATTAGCTTGTGACTGGTCACAGAAATGGCTATATGAAAGTCAAAGCCTACACATCCACAGAGGCACCTAGTACAAATCAAACAGGAGAATTTAGCATTGAAATAACTGAGGGATTATCTTGTGACTGGTCATAGAAATAGCTATGTTAAAGTCAAAGCCTACACATCTACAGAGGCACCTAGTACATGGACGCCAAAGGGGCTGCAACAACTCGACTATCATATAGTAAACCGATGTGAAAAACACCTAAGTCTAAATTACATCAATATAATAAATATACTCAATATATTCTTCAATAAGCTGAGCTAATAACAGTAACTGGGTATACACTACATTATATAATGAATACTATATAGTAAACCAATAAAAAAAACTAAAATATAAACTACTTCAATGTTATCAATAAACTCTATATATTCTCCAATCAGCTAAGCTACCAACAATAAGTCGTTATATATCACAATGCTATATGGCGAAAAATGGGTGGATTCTTACCCTCAACTTTAGCACTACGGATAGCTACGAGCCCCGTTCAGATGGGCGAGTTCATCCATGGTCGGAACAGAGGAGGGGGAGAGAGATAGCTGCGAGGCGCTGTTATACTCCATGTTGCAAACCATACCATTAACCGTGGTGTGAGAGGTATTAAGAGTCAATGCCAGCAAAAGAGCTGCGGTCTGAAGGTCATCGTAAAATACAATTAATTAAGAACCGAAATGGTTTAAAACATATTTCCAATGGTTACTAAGCCAGAATCCATCTTCTCGGTTGAAATTGTCTCTGTGCTTGTATATGTGAATGGCCATTCACCAGTCACAAGCTAATCCCTCAGTTATTTCAATGCTAAATTATCCTGTTTGATTTATACTAGGTGCCTCTGTGGCTGTGTAGGCTTTGACTTTAACATAGCCATTTCTGTGACCAGTCACAAGCTAATCACTCAGCTATTTCAATGCTAAATTCTCCTGTTTGATTTGTACTAGGTGCCTCTGTAGATGTGTAGGCTTTGACTTTAACATAACTATTTCTATGACCAGTCACAAGCTAATCCCTCAGTTATTTCAATGCTAAATTCTCCTGTTTGATTTGTACTAGGTGCCTCTGTGGATGTGTAGGCTTTGACTTTAACATAGCCATATCTGTGACCAGTCACAAGCTAATCACTCAGCTATTTCAATGCTAAATTCTATGCTAATTCCTTTGTCAAGGCGCTGTTTTTTCTCACACAGCTTAAAGCTCGCGGTCTGAGCTTGGCTGTGTTCGCTCCAGCGCTGTCCTCCAGACAGTCTCGTCCCTTCACCTGATGAAGGCCGCTTGTGTTGTGGCCGAAACGTCGTGAGAATTTTATTGTGTTATTTTATCAATTTATTATTTTATTCTCATTCTACGTGACTTTACCGAAAGAACCAAAGAAGATGAATCCTTGCAGTCACGAAAGCTTTAAATCGAAATTTAACCTCGTGTCTAGTCATCTCTGCCTCATTATGTGGAAGGAGTCTTACTGCTGATTCTACCTCAGCAATTATCTCATCCACTGGAATTGTGGGTGGGATAATGGCAAAGTTAAGGCTTTTAGAAAGGACAGAGATCATGTCACTAGTTAAAACAGTGTTAGTCAAGTTCATTACGGTTTTGTTTTTAAATTGTTCGTTTTTAATAAGGATTTGTTTATTATGAAGTCTAGAGAATTTATTCATTAGGCTAGTTTTTGTTAGATTAAACACATTATCAGCCGATTGTTGTAACGGCTTTAGCGATTCTGAAATGTCAGATAATTCACTCCTGTTGTGCTGTATTCTCTCTAATAATAATAATGCACTAGCTTTGTGTAGTATTTGGTTAGCTTTAGCAGACTTTATGAGATGTGTTATTTTAACTGCGTTTGGTATTACCTTCGAATCTCTGCACCTTTTGAGGAACATCAGTGAAGATATTAATTTAATACACTTAATGCGGAGCTTCTCCAATTTTCTGGTTTTAAGAAAAGTATCCTCCCCATAAAGGTTAGTCAGTGTAACACATAGGCTTTCGCGACCAATATTATTCTCAATAAACATTTTTGGGTTAGATCGCGTTATTTATAAATGTGTCGACACATTTATAAATAACGCGATCTATCCCACATTTATAAATAACACGATCTAACCCAAAAACGTTTATTATGAATCTCCCGTGTAGCCTCTAACAGAGTGTTGGGGCAAAAGCAGTTAGTAGTGAGCATCTATGGAGTCCAGCACAGAACACAAAGGGGGAGGTGTATGGTCAACACCATGCCCGGCCGCCTTTGTCTCCCCAATGTTGATATTTTTGCTTAACAGCATAAACTGTTTGAAGGCTGAGTTAACCTAGGGGAGGCCCAGGACCGGTCCAGATAATTGGCACTGATGTTGGCCGTGAGCGGGAATCGAACTTGGGTGGCCAAGTTTCTAGGGCCGTACCCCCGTGCATAGGAACACACACACACATTGCCATGTACACACGCAGCTTGTGTTCGTACATCCACATTGCAGTAAACATACAAAAAGACAAAGATCCCCCGTATATCCTTGAACAGACTGTGGGGGCAAGTGCTCGTAGCGTGTAAAACCTATGAAGGAGATGGGTGGCCAACACAGCACTCATTGCATACACAAAGTGCTTGCCACAAATGAACCACAATACCTCGCTGATCTCATCAAGAAGCATAAACCTTCACGCGAACTCGAGTCAACCTCGTAGTAGCGGATTTTGGATAGCCATCAAACAAAGATGGTCACCGCATCGCGCGCTTTCAGATGCTATATAAACTACACGACACTATATACTACACCAATATACACGACACTATACACTCCACTATAGACTACACTTTTGGCTAGTCATCGAACAAAGACGGTCACCGTATCGCGATTCTGCAGCCGTCTGGAACAACTCATTTCTAACTTGATTTGGTGCTTTCGTGACTGCAGGAATTACTCTTTGGTTCTTTCAGTAAAGTCACGGAGAAATAGAAAATAATAATAAATTACATAATAGCATACGATGTTTCGACTTCAACGCAAGCAATCATCATCAGGTACAAATGAAAGAGCTAAATTTAAGACAGATAAAACACAGAGAGACCGAGGGGAGACAGAGAGAGATGGAGAAGCATACTAAATAATTTTTTTTTGTAATATTTGGAAATTAATATATTGCAACACAGAGGGTCGGTCAAAACACAATTAACACATGGTCTGGTTGATTAACGTTAATCCAAAGATTGCTCAATTATAAGTTAAGTGTGAAATTTGAGAGAGAGACAAGACACATATACGGAGACACAAAGACAGAACACAAGCAGAGAGAGAAGACACAGAGACACAGAGATAAATTAAATGCAATACCGCGCAGATAGCCGGCCAACATAACAGTCAACACCTTACCTGGTTGATTACGTTCCTCATTTCTACTTTGTGTGTTTAGTTTGTTGTCCTTCGTCTGCACAACCGATGAGCAGTTGGCTACATACGGTGCCAATAAAGTTAAACATACACACATTGCACTATACACTACTATACACTACACTATACACTACACTACACACTACACTATTATACACTACACTACACACTACACTACACACTACCATACTGTACAATACACTACTATACACTACACTACCATCCATTGCACTACACCACTATACTACATTGAGAACTAATTTATTTAGAGCTTCTTTTGTGTTTTTAGTTTGCTGTCCTTACCCCACTCCTCCGATTAGCACGGTTGGCTACGTACGGTGCCAATGAAGTTCAACACACGTACATAAAACATACATACAACATACACACACGCATACAACATACACACACATACAACATACATACATACAACATACATACAACAGACATACAACACACATACAATATACATACAACATACATACAACATGCACACAACATACACACAACATACACACAAAATGCATACAACATGCATACAACATACATACAATATGCATACAACATACATACAACATACACACAACATACACACAACATACACACAAAATGCATACAACATGCATACAACATACATACAACATACATACAATATACAAACGGATGCGGAGCTCTCGTTTTGTCTGCGCTCGCGTCTTGCTCCAAGCTGCAGCTCCCTCGCGATAGCCGCTGTGAGCAATGGGCGTGCGGTCGAGCCAGATGCGTCACTCGGTCGGTGAGAAATTCCATTTCCTCTCTGGGAAAATTTTTCGCGTTGTTATTTACCACAGCCAAGAGCAGGGCTGTGTGTGAGCGAGTGTGTGTGTGTATTTGTTTCGGGGCGAGCGGTAATGTAGTGGTTTTGCGTACTCTGCTACGACCCCGACGACTACAGTTCGAATTCCGTTCACGGCCACCACCCAGTGATGATTTTTTTAACCGGTAATGGGCCTCTCCTAAATCGACTTAGCCTTAAATATATGGTGTGGTGTGTAAACATCGCCACGAGGGTAACAAAGGTGGCCTTCATTAGGTAGCCACGTCGTTTCTAAAAAAAATAGCTACATAGCTCAGTTTTCTTTACCTGGTAAATAGTTTAGTTGAGCAATGGTTGTGAGCGCAGTGGCTGTCAGGACTGCGCTCTTACCTGGTGAACTAAACCCAGAAGCCACAAGCCACACGTGTGGGGTCGAACCCAGGACATGGCCGTGCCTGGTCATGCGTGCACAGAGATGTGTTTGGGGCCACGTTTCTATCCTGATAACATAATAATCGACAAATGTTCTCATTCAAAACATGAAACTGTGTTCATACGTATCAGAAAATGTAGTCGCTCGTTCTGTATTTCAACTGATAAATGTGTAGTGACGTAGAATGAGTCACTAGAGTGCGTGGCATGGGATTCTCGGAGAGAGGAGGACTATGAGTATAGCAGCCCGGTCTGCCAGTGCGACACATGAGCAGAGCCTGGAACCCCCTGGTGGGATCCAGAGGGGGACATGGCCGAGGGCGGAGCCAGGCCCCTTCGGGGAGGATAAAAGGGAAGCTCCGACACTCAGTCGGGGCTGCTGTTGTCTGGGAAAGGAACTCGTCGTGCTGCCGTCGTCCTCGTCTTCATCCTCCTCGGCGTCGCTGGTCGGGTAGCGTACAGACCCTGGGTAGATATCCCCTGTGACTATATGGAACGGAATAAAGGATGTGCCTCCAACTCTTAGTGTGTCCAGATTGAAACACTACACACGGGCAGTCCTCCACTTTACGAATGGGTCCCGTTCCTGAGAGCCGTTCGTAAGTCGCATGGTTCGTAAGTCAGAACACAGCAATGCACTGCATTTAAATGCACATATGGTCAGTGTTATACAATTAGTTACGGTTCAACAAGAAAAAAGCGAAGCATTGCAAAACTCATAAATAAGAATAAAAATTGTACATTTGCACGTAATAAGTAAAATGGAATATAATAAATAAATTAATGCTCACCTCCGATTAACACAATTCACTACATATGGTGGGAAAAAAGTTGGCTTGCTTGTCGGAAGGAGCGTACCGAGTCCCCACAATTTACGAACGCACACACATATAGACACAACAACAACAACCGCCATTCACCACTAAGTGGCGGTGACGTCACCACGACGCTTGTGCCAGGCTATGTGCACCCTGAGTCCATGTGAAGTGTCGAACGCCCGCTGGCAGGAGGTCACGGGGCAGACCCAGGTGCCACGGGTCGACTGACTGAGATGACTGGCTGATGCACCGCCTGTGCCCCCTACTGTGCCAACCTGCTGTGCTTTAGCCACCCGGCGCTCCGCTCGTTGCTGTGAGTGTCGCTCCTCCGCCCTCCGTTGTTGTTGGAGGGCGACTGCCTCCAACTGCCCAGTAGCGTCCTTCACGAGCCTCCTCCACAGAGGCCGATCTTGACACCGCTGGTACCAGTCATCGGCAAGTCCACTCAGCTCCACATCCTCCTGTACCACGTCACTCCATCTCTTCTCTAACCCGTGCCGCGACCGTTTAGCCCCCTCAATCCGGCCGAACAAAAGCTATTTCGGCATGCGGTGGCTGGGCATGCGGGCTACATGACCCAGCCATCGCAGCCTTGCCCGCCGGAGGAGCTCACCGATGGGACCTTGTCCAGATCTTTCAAGGATTTATGAGCTCCTCACACAATCCAGTCTGGTTAAACCCAGGATGGATCGTAGGCAGGCCAGCCTAAATGTTTCTAACTGGCGAAGATGTTCCATTAGGGGGGTCTACGTTTCGCAAGCGTAGAGAAGGGAGGGAATGACCGTGGCCGAGAAGACCTGAAGCTTAGTGCGGAGCGACAGACCAGGAAGCTTCCACACAATGAAAAGATATTGCCGCTCGACTGATTCGGAGTGAGACCTCTGCTGTTAAACTGGAGCCGGTCATAAGCACACTGCCCAGGTATGGGAAACTCTCCACTCGCTCCACAACTGCCTCATCACCGATTGGGAGTTGTGGGGGTGTAGTGTCCGATGGTACAAAATACCCAGGCAGGTGCTTAGTTTTGGTGGGGCTGATGCTAAGGCCCCACCTCTTAGTGGCACGCTCCAGTCTCAGCAGCAGCGTCTCCAACTCCTCCTCTGAGTGAGCAGCTATTACCAAATCATCAGCATACATAACGTGGTTGAGCAATAAGGAGCCATCCCTTGACCACACCCGGGCATCGATCAGCCTCCCATTATATCTGTACCATATGGAGATTCCGCCGGTACAGCTATTGAAGGCTTCACGAACTACGTGGTCAAGATAGATGTTAAATAATGTGGGAGCCAGAGGACATTCCTGTCGCACCCCAAGGTGTACAGGGAATGGCTCTGACTCCCGACCACGTAGTTTTACCCGTGCCCGCTCTCCATCATGAAGGTCCTTAATGATCGTGAGCAGAGGGTCAGGTACTCCAAAAGCACGAAGAACAACCCAGAGCCCAGGCCGAGACACACACAGACACACACACAGACACACACACGCACACGTAGACACACGCACACACAGAACGACAATGACCCCCCCGTGTAGCCTTACAGACTGTTGGGGCAAGTGCTGTTAGCGAGCAGCACTGTATACAGACACACACACAGATACAAAGACACACGCATACAGAGACAAAGATCACCGTGTAGCCTGTGAGAGACTGTTGGGGCAAGTGATGTTAGCGAGCAGCACCTATGAAGGCCGGCACTGCGCACAAAGGGGTAGGTGGCCATCACCACGCCCGGGCGCCTTTGACTCCCCAGTGGCGATGTTTACACACCGCAGCAGGTGCACATTTGAGGCTGAGATGACCTAGAGGATGCCCAGAGACCCATTCAGATGATTGTCAGTGGTGTTAGTTGTGACCGGGAATGTTGTGAGATTACTTTCCAATACAACGGTGTATTGAAGCAGTATTGCGCTTACATTGTTTGTTCACATGACAATTATATTAATTGGCTATGCCGGCTGGAGGGGTATGTACGACACACATTTTACTTACGCGGTCTGATCCAAAAAATCAAGTATGAATCATGATTTTGGTCATGGCAGCCCACACTTTGACTCATTGAAATATTTATAATTGGACTTAAACTCCTCGCTCACAGACTGAGTCAGCTAGGCCCCACAGTGGCAAGATGTTAACTATCTCGCCTGCTATGCAAGAGATCGTGGGTTCGATTCCGACCCTGACTTCGCAGTGGCTAGGATATGTTATATACCTCGCCTAGTATACAGGGTCGTGGGTTCGATCTCGACCCTGATGCCTGCTGTGCGTTTTAAGTTTGCATATCTCTCTCTCCGTGGTGAGATGTTAACTACCTTGCCTGGTATACAGGAGGTCGTGGGTTCGATCCTGATCCCGACCGTGACGCTTGTATATTTGGAGTTTGCGTGTCTCTCTCATAGTGATCACGTGGAATTTTCTCTGGGTCCTCCTGTTTTTCCCTCCACATTTAGAAAAATGCTTTTGAGTGTATGGCTGCGATAAACTTCCACATGATGAGCTACTTTGTTTAGCAATCATTTGTGGCCAGGTCGCTTCGGAAAAAGAGCTACATAGTTCAATGGGCCTTACCTGGTGAAGTTAAAACAGCGACTTACCTTCTCTGTGTGTGTGTCGGTGGGACACTGAGCCAACCAGCGGCCCAGGTGATCAAAGCGGACAAATTGTGGTCAACAACTCGCAAGGGGCATTTAAGAACTTGCTAGCTCAAAGGACACGATGATGATGATTATCATCAATGGGCAACCTTGGTTAACCCACTATTGGGATGATGAAGGCCCTCCACAACCCATTGTCAGCTTCTCAAACGACCTGGTACAGAGCATCACATTCAATCAGTAGTGCGCTCGTTGAAATGTTACCTTTGTAGAGAGGTGATTTTCTACCAGTGGTCCAATCTGTAGGCAAGGGAGTGGGTGACCGTACTGGGGAGCCTACTAAAGGCTGTATGGAAGCGATAAGGTGGCTTTAAAAATAAAAATCTGAATCCAGGCTTCCACTGAAAACCGCGAGCTCACAAATAAAGCGGAGTGGTCTGTGGCACACTGTACACCTTCAGATCGCTCGGAGACGTCATGGCTACTTGCTGCTTTACTCCCTGAGATGTAATTTATTTATTTTAAAGCGTTTGTAAAAAATAAAGATAACATATATACAGCAATCCCTCGCAAATCCGTGGGAGGTTTAGTTCCTGGAAAAGGACGTGGGGGCCTCTGCGGTAATGCGTGTATGATGTTTAACGTCTTTCGCACCATACATGGCCCACTGTGCTAATCGGAGGTGCAGTATTAAGTCTATGGGCAGTTTTGATTTACATCTTTCGTGACTACAGGGATTCATATTTTTGGTTCTTTCGGTGAAGTCACGTAGAAGGGAAACAATAAAATAATAAAAATATAAACCAATAAAATTCTCACGACGTTTCGATTGCAACACAAGCAATCATCATCAGGTGTGAAAACCACAGCTGTGGTTTCACACCTGATGATGATTGTTTTATATTTTTATTATTTTATTGTTTTATATTTTTATTATTTTATTGTTTTATATTTTTATTATTTATTGTTTTTCTATGGGCAGTGTTGATTCTATGGGAAGTGTTGAGTCTATGTGTAGTGTTAGCCTATGTGTAGTGAATCACTTTTGAGACACTAATAGTAGGAGGCAACACGCGTTTATTCAATACATTTAACACTTGTTCACACACGGGATAACTACAAATAGGTCAGAGCAGCCGGCACTCTGTCTGACCTATGACGCCAGAGACGAAGACAAAGACGTAGCGTGTAGGTTTCCATTCCACCGACAGACAGCCCTTATCCAGCCTCGGGACTTCCCTTTAATGCCCCCCGGCATGGCCTGGCTCCGCCCTACCAGAAGATTCTGGGCCACCTTCCACGTGTCCCTTGCCTGGCTCCGCCCTTGGCTACGCCCCCTGTTAGAACCCACCAGAATGTTCTGGGCTATACCCCACGTGTCCCCTCTGTCACCTTTGCCCCATATCCCTTACCCCGGCCTTTTACGTGCTCTACCAGCTGGCCGGGGTGCTACGTCCTCATATGTACATTTCTGCCAGCAGCCTAGTGACACACTCTGTGGCCTTGCATGCTCTGCTGACAGAACGGCTGCTACACCCTGCTCTGCTGGCAGGTCGGCCGTTACGTCCACAATTCCTCTCTTTGTCAGTAACCAGCGCTACATGCTGTAATGGCCATTTTTTGTCATTAAATCACCCCCCCTCAAAAAACACAGCCGTGCCGGCTGACCTCCATATCTCGTGCAGTGGGACGACTACCCAATTAACCAACAACAATCCCGACGACAACAACAGTAACAACAACAACCTTCATACCCCCTCGCGAGTCAACAACAACAATCAATGGAAAAATGAAAACAATCGCAAACGCACAGTAATAAACCCAACCCCCAGACTCTATACACCACCCGACGACTGCTGGCACGCCACAGCCCACGAACACAGGTAGAACTCAGTTCAACCGGCAAACACAGCCCGGCTCGTGTCTGTGCCCACTTGCCAGACGATGGCGGAATAAATAGGATGACTGGGGCAGTTGTTAAAAACGAACAGTTCTTGAACAGGTCCTCGTCGTTGGACCCCGGGTTGGACAAGGACGGGTTCCCTGGGGACGACTTGAAAATGGTCTAACGGGCACGGCCCCTCCCGGAAAGAAGATGGGGGGGGGGGGGGGAAGCGGGTTTTGATCATTCCTCCCTCCTTGGATCGCTTTCAGATGGCTCAACGGGCGGTTTCCGCGGTTGTCAAGTGCTGCATTCCTGTGGGTGGAGGAACAAAAATCTGCTGAGGCCTAACCTCCGTGGTCGCACGCCCAGGCTCGTCGGCCACATCAGACAACCTGCCTTCGGGTAGTGAGGATGAAACAACCTGGCAAGGAGGAAAATAAGGTTTCAGCCGCGATGGATGCACGTTCCAACGCCTGTGACCAGGGGCGGAGCCAGGGGGGGTGACAGGGGTGACATTCTGCGTATAAGTGTACGACACTCGGTCTGGTGGACTCCATGCAACTGCATTGTCAGAGTGTGTCGCCAACCGATGGCGTCTAGTTCAACAGCCTGACTCTCTAATCATTCTTGAAATAAAAATTT